TTCTGCCGGAACGCGGCGGAACGGCGTTCCGGCACCTTTTTCCGGGCCGGCCGCACCGGAAATAGCCCCTCCCAAACCGGAAGTAGCCCCTCCCACATTTTACTTGCATCTTTTTTCTAAAGGGGCGGTCCTAGGGTTTGATGGGGGCGTGGCCAGGTTTGAGTTCCGCCACCTTTTCGCTGAGAAAAAAAGCCCTGAGTTATGTAGGAATGAGAACATCAACGGCCACAATGGCAGGTACAAGAATAGGAAAATGAACAAACTCATAAAAATTAATATAGAATTAAGAAGCTAGTCAAATTACCTGACTGAATGAAGTGTAAGCAAAGAACTTCCAGGGGATAACTCATGTTAGGATAGACAATCATCATTTCTTTACAGGCCTTCTTCATTCTAGAAGACTCATGAGGAAACTTTTAATAGAAATAGAAAAACAATTAGCAAAATAGATAAGGGGTCAACATGCACTTTTAGATTTCAGTTTAGATTTAGATTTCTTACTTTTGATAAACTCTGAAGGAATTCTCTGTAAAGCTTTTTGTGCTCTTCACCTGGAACTGGTTCTGAAGAATTGATTGCCTCTTCAAACGCATTAAGGAACTGAAAAAAACAATGTAAACATTCTAAGATGAAATAACAAAGCAAAAAACTAGCAAGCTTTTAACTTATGGTGGCATAGTGACACTAATATTCAGCGCTTATGAGTTTTACTTGGGCTTAATGTATTATGCAAGGCCACCCATTATTATTTTTCATTTATTTTCTACTATGGTGTATTCAAAATTCTAACTTACTGTTATGTACGCCTATCATCTGAAAATCATTTAATCCTATTCCAACAATAGTTAGGAAATAAAAATTAAAGCCAATATTTATCAGTAGTTGGATTATTATTTCTGATCTTTTTTTTAATATAAAGGTATCAATGGGTGGCTAGATCTTTAAGGAGAAAGAAATGAAAAAGTTGGCAGTTATTTCCTTGCCAATCACTTCTTTCCTCAAAATAATCCACTCCCACCTCAATATCCATAGGGGGAAAAGCTTGAAGAAACAAAGTTTAAAAAAAGCAAGCAGAGAAATAGTTAGGACACATTTTATTTCAAGCCATCATATTTCAGCTTTCCTTTACGAATTTCTTTAGGCAAACAGTGCTTTTCTCTGTTCATCCTTAACTAGATTTAGCCAACATTGTCAATGACAAAATAGGAGTTGCAATGCAACAATATTTTGAGGGCCACATGTTGCTACCCCTCCTTCATTTATTTATCAGACTACCCATCTCACTCACAGAGCAATTCTTTTAAGAAAGCTTTAAAGAAAATTGTCAGGAATCAGAAGTATATTTTTTACTTTATTGATATTTTTTTAATCTTTTTATCATTAAAAACAATTACAAAGTGGGGTATAATGATTAACTATTAAACCAACTGTTAATGCATTAATGATTAAAATATTAATAAATTCAGCAAAACATGTCAAAAAAAATAAAAATAAAATATCTTTTTTACAAGCAAGATCAACAGACAAGTAGCTCAGTTTAGACCAGGGGTGTCAAACTGCCGGCCCGCGGGCCGGACGTGTCACGTAGAAGCCACGCCCACCCCATTGCTGGCAATGGCAAAACCGGCCCGATACGTTGCGCAACGTCATGTGACGTCGCAAGTTTGACATGCCTGGTTTAGACAATTTGACAGTGGGTAAAGGAAGCTGACACACCAGCAAGTTCCTCATCTACAAATTGGAGGTTTTCCTTCCAATTGGCCAAGATATGTGTCACAGTTTTACACAGATTAAACAATCATCAGAATTCACCTCTTGTTTCAAGTAGACCCCCTGCTAACATCTGAGGACACAGAGACGTGTACATATTTGTATGTATACATTCATTTATCATTAGACCCTGGTTCAAACAAGAAAACTAACAGATCTCAAACCGATTCTTCTGCTTTGCAGGCAGCAGTCTTTTTACAGAAGAGCTAGTCAGAGGATTTACTAGTAAGTCAGAATTCAGAACTATACTTATTTACA